CAAGGACTCTTTTGGAGAGTGATCTGGGGCTTTCACATATTCTCACAGAACCCATTCCGGGACTGATTTATCTTGGTCCAAAGAATTATTTGACAYCTAACACTTAAGCAACTACACTTTTATACCTAATTATTGTTATGGCCAACAAATACAGTTGCAAAAGTGTCAAAACGCATATAGCTCTTCAACCGATGTTCCACCGAGCCCGGGCCCAAGCCCAGGAAGTGAGCCACCGGGATCTGGGCTCTCTCTCTTTTCACGCTTCTCCTTCTCATAGGAAGTCTATGAGGCCGAACTGTGTAGCGGTGCAGCAGCGTCTGGTTTGCATGGTGATTTTTGTATTCTTTTTGTAACAATTTACTTTTTAATGCAAAAAAGGAGGAAATTTTATACACAAAACATGAAAAGATGATCAGGAAGTATCCTGGAGCAGCCTTGAGATTTTGTATCATGATTTCATCATAAGCAGTAGTGCTGTATGTATAGAAGCTTTTCTTTCAGTTTCTTGATGACTTAAATCTTACGTTGCTACTTAATTATCTTATCATTTTGGGGACTTCCCCTTTGAAATTATAGTTTTTTGGGCCTGGTAAGGTTTCTACAACAAAGGGGCCGTTTACTCAAATGCTCACCCGGCAAGCACTTACCGATATAAGTCAACACTATAATTTATTTTTCTGGCTAAGATTGTAGTGCATCAAAATGATATAGTATGCAACAATTTACCCGGTAAACGTTTAACCGGGTAAGAGTATTCACTCTCATTTACTGGGTAAGACTCCATCCTTTCACCACTCTTACCGGTTAAGACTCTCCATCCTTTTACCGTTTTAACCGGGTAAGATTCTAAACCCTTACCATGTTCATTCGATAAAAAAGATTATCCGCTAAGCATTTATTGGATAAGCATTTAATAAACGGTCCCAAAGTCTCGAGTTTAAATCTGACCTTGCCATAAGACACCACGATTTACCTCTCATATGGTGGTCATAGGTGCTTTGAAGGGTAGCACAAATCCTTTTTCAGTGGGTTTGAATTTTGCGGAGTTCAGCCTTCCGACATTGACATTTGTTAACTGGTCTTCATTTCTAGGGGTGTGTCTTTTCTGGTGCTTGCTTATGAGGTATGGCAAGTAGGGTTCACAAAATGTGGACCACGGGGCCATGAGGTCCCCGTCATTAAAACTTTTTTTTTTTAGTCTAGTTTGTATGGTTTAACATAGTAGACTACATGTGATGTTTTGAGAAATTTTCAAATTGTGTGATTTGGTATGAAGTGACCAAACCTCTCAAATTAATAAACCCGATAATTAAATTTCATATAATTTATTAACAAGATAATTAAAAATTAATCTTACTAAAACAAAATAAGAAAAATTGTAATTTTTTTTACAGGAAACGAAAAATAAAACAAAATAAAATGGTGAAAATAATAATAATAATAAAAGAATAAAAAAAAATGAACTAGACAAGGAACCCAGGTTCTTAACCCGGATTCTTGTCCATTGGCAGGTTCTTAACCCGGATTCTTGTCTAGTTGCAGGTTCTTAACATGGATTCTTGTCCAAGCACCTGGGTTTTTATAAGAATCTGTGACTGGACAAGAACCTGTGTCTTACAGTGAAAGTTCTTATAACAAACTCCAACAAAAGCCTTTACTGTAGATGCTCTTAAGCTGTTAATTTAAACTTTCAAATTGCAGATGGACTAATCCGTTCAAACCATAAAAAACAGTCTAGTTTGGTTTAGTCCAACCGGTTTTCTAGTCCATTGGTTTTTTCTTAGTACCGCTATATCTTCTTATCATAAGTTGAGATGGGTATTATTATAATAGGGTGAAGTTCTAATGAAAATGAGCTACAGTGAGAAGGGTAAGGGTGGATCAATTCTAATCGAAGAGTTTCACTAGATCAACACTAATAAGAAATCAATTCTCTTCTAAAGCGCAATTTATGAGTTGGTTTGAGATTAAAAGTAATCAAGAGTCCAGATCCCTTTTTACACCTCTCATTTTAACTCGTATTCTCACACCATCTCTCGTCTATAATAATATTGGTTTAACATGCAAGCTAGAGTTGGCACAAACTATATCTTTTTGGCCAAATTGGAAACATACTACTCGAAACTTGTTTCGCTAATTTTTTTTCCAAGAAACCCCTTCTTCCATTACCCAAATTACAACTGTGTTTTAAATATCCTCAGAATCAGTCTTCTGTATGCAAAATGTGACCATGGACTATTGGGCTAGCGAATCAAAGTAGCCGTTAGCCCTTGCCCATCCTAGAACGGTGGTGAATCGTCCGGCCCGAGGAAACCTTTGCATGCTTCCGTTACCTTTTGGGAGGCTTACGTCCCATAGAAACTGTCTACATGAGACTGTCCCTTGGCTCGTACGTCCTGACACAAGATTAGAATTCTAGCTCTTCCCGAGTGGTATCTCACTGATGGCTCGAACCCCCTGGAAGGAGGCCTTCTTCCCCTTCCACCTAAGCTGCGCAGAAAAGGCCCAAAGCCAATCTCAGGAAACAGTGAAGCTTCATAGGGTCTTTCTGTCCAGGTGCAGGTAGTCCGCAGTTTCACAAACATGTCTATTTCACCGAGCCTCTCTCCGAGATAGTGCCCAAAGTGACTTGGTACGTAGACGAAACAGGACCACACAAGACATATTTGGACAGGTAAAAGTGAGGTAAGTGAGTGAAAGTATCGTGAATCATTTTAGGTTTTAATTTAACATGAGATATTTTAGTAATTTATCAATCTTGTGTCACCTCCCCGATGTTTGTTCCACCTACTTTGATTGGACAAAAAGTGCATCCTTATCGCACTCAATCTCGTCTAGTCTTGTCCCAATCTAAAGTCACACTAAACATGAGACGACAAGTTTTTGTACTGTCTCTCTTTATCTCGTCCCGCATACAAATGCACTCAGACCCTTTTTGTCATACTTCCAAAGTTATAACACCATGTTTCTACTAAGAAACTGCAGTTGGGAGAACCAATTTGTCTTCTAATTTAGTGCAATAATACACCTATTTTGGTAACATAACAACAAAATAACTTTGATTTGTTTGAATAAAACACTATAGTTTTTATGGTTGTGTAAAATAGCTGCCGTTCGATCTTCCTTCAGTCTATATGGTTATATAGAGTAGCTGCCGTTCGATCTTCCATCGCTACCAACTGCTACATGTTCAAAGAAGTCTTTGCTAGCATCTGCCATAAAAAAAAAACCACACCACAACAACAATGTGAACTAAGTGTAAAAAACAACTATTATAGGATTTTGATGAACTACTAATTTCAATAACCACAAGGGTGGTGCCTGATTGGTTTGAGCTTGGCTCCAAAGTTCAAAAGTATCAGGAGGTTCCAAGTTCAAATCCAAGGAGGAACAAAAATCCCCTTGTGGCCACGGAGGTTCAAATGTGGTGACTCCGGGCTATCTGCAAAGCAGGTGGTCGCCCTGGGATTAGTCGGCTCGCATAGCGGATTGGATATCCAGGTTAATCAAAATTCTCAACCGAAAACAGCCTATGTTATTGATTTTTGTAACAAGAAATCACATACCATGCTTCATTGTTAAAGATGGAACTTGCTCTTCTACATAACCGATCACCTTTGCTGGTATTCCTGCAGCCATGCTTTAAACAAAAACAAAAAGTATCAACCTCCGATATAGGCCAAACTAAGGGGTTGTTTTTTTAGTAAGTGCTTGCAGTCTCCTATCGGGTAAGTAATGTTTGCCACGCCTTCTAACCAACAGATGTTGCTGACTTGGTAAGAGTGGAGAGGCTTACTTACCCAGCCTGAGCATCTTACCCAATCAGCACTTATTTAGAAAACGGTCCTTAAGAAACAAGATTGTGACATTTGCAAAGTAGACCATGTCTCACCTATGTTGAGGAACATCCTTAAGAACAAGTGAGCCTGAAGCTATCATCGCACCATCGCCAATTTTGATATTCCCAAGTACAGTCACACTAGCTCCAATCAGCACACCTTGACCAACTTTCGGGTGTCGATCCCCTGTTTCTTTTCCACTTCCTCCCAAGGTTACACCCTATTAAAGACAATTTTACCCTGGTATATGTTATTACAAATTCAGACCTCAATTTGTAAGATACCTAAAATTATAGATTTAACCTTTAATTATATACAGGAGCTCCCAAACATAAGCCAACAAGGTTCAACAGTCTTTTTTTAAGTATATGGTATTTATATACTGCAAATACTCACGCACACTTCTCACTTTTTTGATGAGATTCGAACCCTTGACCTCCTGGGACAGACACCGCTGAGCCAATGACCTTTTGGTTGGTTCAACATAGTTAAAGGTGCCTAAGATTACATATCATCCCAATCCCCTAAAACTGACCCCTGAGTGGGATTTACTGCGTTCGTTTGGTTTTTAATCATACCGGAAAAAGTAGGGATAACCTGACTTACCTGCATTAGTGAAACTCTATCTCCAATAACAGCAGTTTCGCCAATAACTAATCCCGTCCCATGATCCAACAGTATTCCCTCTCCAATTTTGGCAGCTGCTAGCCACAAGAGAAACAGTGGTTGGTAAGAGGTATTTTCCATACATTCTTGGTAAGAGGTACTTTCAAATCCATAATCATTTTTTTTTTGGGAAGGATGTCCCAGGTTATGCCTGGACTAATCCTGGCAAATTGTGACTGCAATAAATCAGCCCTGATAAACTCATTGGCAACAATTGTTGTGGACGCCTGGAATCAAACCCTGAGCAGATGGGATATTCCACCACATCTCCCAAGACCTCAACCACTACACCACAACCGTTGTGGTTGACGAAAAGCCTTGTAAACCAACTCTACCAGGGGAAACTTGTAATAAAAGACTTGAACACGGGACCTCACATATGAAAAATGACATTCTTATAGGTTTCAAAGCATTATTAGGTATGGAAGTGGCATTCTTCTGTTAAGCAATGACATTCTCAAACATGTTAGAAGGTCATGGATTTAAAAAAAACAGAAGGTCATTTAACCAAAGACCCACTATAACATATACATATATACATGTCTCTCTATATGCATACCTGGATGTATGTCAACTCCAAACACCTAGACAAAAGTAAAAGGTCGCAAATAAGAAGCAAGTTGAAGTAGTCATTTGAAAGATACCACAAATACGATAAATATAATGCCAAATGCTACCTCACTAACTCGACTTTGTAGCGCAAGAGCCAACACTTTGCGTCCTTGATTCCACAATGCATGTGCCACTCGGTGCGTTTGTAAGGAATGGTAACCCTACAAAAGTATCCTCAACTGAATGAGTGCCAGTTAATTTAGCACTTCACATCAAGTAACCATAACATGCATTCTCTAGAATCCAACAAAAGAAAAAAATGGTTGTTAGTGCTATTTATTTATATGGGCACAATGAAATCCATAAAGAAGTCAAATTCTAATTCAAATACCTTCAAGTATAAAAGAGCAGAGCAATAAGACAAACATGAAGGATCTCTGTCTTTAAATGCCTGTGGAAGGAAATTAGTCGAGTAATAAATTCAGCTTCGTGTTAGATTAACCTCCAACAGTAATGAAAAAAAAAGATCATTAAACAGTACAAAGAAATTTCGAATGCATGCTGTTAAACATCACCTGTAGATCCAGGCGAATTGCTCGGTGGATGCCTCGGTTTTGAACCATTACATCACAAAATATATCCATCAATTGGGTTTCTAATAGCGTATTATTTTGGAGCCGATTGGCAATAATAAATCCCAATGCTCGTTCTAAACAATCGTGCGACAGTATGCTGGCATATAAGAAGCTGCTTAAAATTGGCTCATTCTCTGCCTGAAATTTTGTATCAAAGAACCAACCTTAGATTCATTATTTCACACTTATCAAACTACAAAAACAATCATCTCAAAACTGCATCCAATTAACATATATGACAAATGAGTTCCCCTTTATAATTCATTTCAAAGTTTTTTATAGTAACCAATTTCCACCAAGACGAAGGATCATGTGAGAATAGGAGTTAAGGTGAGAAGTGTAAGAAGGAATTTCGACCCTTGATCACTTTTAATCCCAAAACAACCACAAATTGCACTTTAGAAAGGAATTGATCTAGTGTATCTCATTAGTGTTGATCTAGTGGTTCTCTTCAATTATGATTGATCCATGGGTGGAGATCCCTTCTCACCATAACTTTCATTCTCACCGGAACCCAACCCTTTCCACGAATTATATCATTCTTTTTATTAGCCATTACTATAAACCATGAACTCTACATCTTATTTAACATAGGAAAAAAGATATCATCTTCATGAAAAAGAAGATGATGTTCCCACACCCAATAAATAAATAAAACAAACCCCACATCACAATTTTTCCATGTGCCAAGAAAGATTCCAATTTTCAAATTTAACATCAAGGAAGTTTGATGTTCCTTAAGATACTACTTAGCACACCACTCATATATCATCCCCCCCCCCTTGCCTTCACTCACATACCACTCATACATGAGAGGGTATGAATAGAATTGCTATTTTTTAAAGATGGGATAAAGAATCAATCTTGTTAAACTGTGTTTATAGTATCAAGTTATTAGACCAATTCAAGAAGCTGACTTTCACATATTCCCTTTTTGGCAAATCTTTCATCCCCAATTACATGTATCTAATAAAGTGTTGAAGCCTATGGATTATCTAATAGGATTGATGTTGATGTGTGAGAGGTGAAATTACTGTTAATGGTGCATTTAGCCCACCCCTATCTAATAATATGGAGAAAAAGTACCATATTATTCCAAAAACATAAAGCCACCATCATATTATTAGGCCTGTTCAACATGTTGACTTTGACAAATTTCATCATTCCACACTAAAGATTTATGACCCACTATCAAATAAACCATGGAATAGATTATAAAACTTATTCCATAACAGAGAAATCAAAAATTCAAACACTACAGAGAGTAAATTGAAATGAATTTGGGGTGAAAAAAGTTATGATGAGTTGCAAGTACCTCAAGCTTGGCCTCTACTCTAACAGCATCCCAAATAGAATCACCCACAACCGAACCCGAATTGACAACCGAATCGGATCTTGGAGATAATCCACCCCTGGCATAAACCGGAAAGATTCTCTCGACCTTATGACGCATCACCATGACGGAGGTGGAGGTGGAGGTGGAGGTGGAGGCGGGTGAGATAGGATTTGAATCCGTAGTATCGGGTCGGACTATCTCCTTTTCTTGATCCACTTCTTCAAGAACCGTACTTATGGAATGCATTTCCGATAGCGAACCCAAACAAGCCGCCATTGATGAGAAGAAAGTGAAGCTGGAGACGAGTCTAGGGTTCGAATTTGATTGCAAACGGGTAAGAAAGATGTAGAGCCGTGAAGATGATTCGTGTTCTTGCGGTTGATAGCAGTGGTTCCAGTACCCATCAATCATATCATCACTGAAATGGGGTCATGTGCCTAATAAAGAAATCGTTATCAATCCCCATGGCTTTTAGCGGTTTATTTGAAGGGAAGCAGGGAACCCAGCTTTTAAAAGCAGAAAGTTTTCAAGAAAATCTTTAAATATACAACAAAATTAAATTTTCTGATACACGATTTTTCAAGAAAATTTATGGGTTTGTTTAAAGAAGGTAAATACATAAATTGTTGATTTTGAATTAAAGTTCTTGAAGTGTACGGAGTATTTAATCTGGAATAATTAATATTATAAGATATTGTATCATTGAGAGTAAATAAAGTGATGTGAATCCAGAGAGAAAAAGTGTGCCAAATATTCTAAGGATATTTATGATGTTGTAAAATAATTCATATATTTAGGGTCGTTTCTGGGGAGGGTGGCATGGGCGTATGTCAAGAATCCAAAAATATAGTGGGTCCAAATTTTTTCTTTAAAATACAATAATAATCTCAAAGAATTTAATAAATTAAAGAAACCCAATAAATTGTAGCATATAATACGAGACAAAAAAATTAGTAGATAATAAGGGCCAAAAAATATATCAACTAATTACATTAGGGAAGAAAAAAAAATTAATTGGTCATCTATTATATGTTATTGTTTAATGTCTCTCTAATGTTTTTTTATATCTCCAACATAGTCCAATAATATTGGCTATTGCTATCTCTATATGTTTGATTGTTTTCGTGCTTCAACAATTCAACGTTAAGATCATGTGCTTGCTATTGCTATATATTTCTGCT